CCCCAAAACCCCAAAACCCCAAAACCCCATTTTTTCTGATTTTAATAGAATAAAATAGCTTAAAAATTGTATGGAGCTAACTGCCGAGGACAGAAAAATCAAGAAAAATAGAGAAAATTTATACAAACTCAAGACAAAAATTGACATAGGAACGATTTTTGACAGAGAGCCTAAAAATAATAATACCAGCTACAGGTACACGACCAGGATGATACTCAGATCCTACTGTAAAACAGAAGAGGACAAATATAAACTCAATGAGTAAAACTAGTCACTAAATCTAGCTTCCCCGATGTCGACGTCAAGTGCATTGCAGACCAGCGTAGGCAACCCAAACTCAGGTTTAGAGATCAACCCGATAATCAGGTGCATGAGTAGTACTAGGATTTTGGAATACATTCTGTCGATGATCGTAATTGCCCAAAGTATCATTTTTAGGACTTCCAGCCTTATAAAGAAGGCTCCCTCATGCTCATTTCAGTAGAGTTTAGCATCATTTTTAGGTGTTTGGAATTGATATCATTTACAGGATCAAATAAATACTTTATACTAGCATTCCTACTTGATAGTACAAAACCTCCTCTTGATGTCCAGAGCCAAAGTTTCTCAGCTAGTTCAATACAGGAAGTTAATTTTGAAGATCCAAGCCAAATTTCACTTCTTTTACCAAGTAATCTCTCATTCTTGCATTGATTGGGAAGAGATAGCAAAATTTTCGCAGAATTGGAAGAGACTAATAAAAAGGCTGAAATAAATATACTGGATTTCAAGCTAATAATGAACTATATCCAAGGATACTTTACCTATTTCTTTATTGACCTCATAAATAAAGATTTGTAAGTTGTTTTTGTTATATTTAATAAACCATCTTCAGCTTAAATGCTCAAGCAGTCTCAAAAGGATGATCTCCACTTGACTCTATAAACTCCCTCCTCCTCTTCATCGATAAGGAAGCTTTAGATAGAGTAAACTCAGTTGCAGAAATCATAAACTCCACTTCAATAGATCAGATAAACTCAAAATCCTGTATCCTAAAAGACATCCTAAAGGGTTTTCACAAGAAAATATGGTAACCTCCTCTAACCCCCACAGAGAATTCGACATCCTGTACGCTAAACGTATCAAAACATACCTAGAAACCTACGAACTATGCCACATCTACCTCTTCGAGACCATTCCCAACCCAGACTCCAGTCACTACGACCCCACTGACTCCTCCTTCAAGCCTCAAAAGCCCGACCTTAACTTCCTATTCAAGCACAATTTCACCAAAGAGTCTGACCCTGCTCGCCTAGAATCCTACAGTTTCTTCACAAAAATTCTACATGAGCTCATCCCCAAACTTGAAGGAGTAGACTACCAGTCCTCTCCAGTAGTCCCAGAGTACCACTGTGGGGGTTACATGTTTAAGTGAAGAAGTCTTATTAATAACTCGACTTTTATGTGATTTGTGTTTAAGAGGAATATTGTGAAGAGGTATGCAAGGGTTCCCACTGTGTTACAAAGAAATGACACTTCTTTTAAAGGAAAGGGGATGAAGGATTATAATTATGTAAAGGAAGACAAGATGATAACTAGGTCACAATGTAATAAAGAGGTTTTATTTTATAGTCCAAGGGCAGCAGCATTATAGATTACATCTTGAAGATCGAGAAATGGCTTTTGCACATATGTGAAATGTACTTTTAAGCTTTCTAAAGTACCAGAGAAGTGATCAGATCAGAATTTTAGAGTATTTTTGTAGAATAATCCATTATAGTAGCCTTATTTCTGAGAGAAAGCAGGCTATTCTGGGTAGACTTTTTGGGGAAATTGATGACCATGTTGAAAATGACAGTTTTGATAAAGTGATGCCAGAGCTAAACCCTGTCAAAATGATCACGAAATCCCTAAAATAAAATTTTACATTTTCTATTCCAATCACTTGAGGATACCTAGGGGTTTTGGGGTTTTGGGGTTTTGGGGTTTTGGGGTTTTGGGG